TAAGGTGCTCTCACCTCTGAATATTTTTTTTTGTCTACAGCTGTGTTCAAGACGGGAGTTATTAGTGTTGGAAAGTGTACACAGACTATTTAATGCTAGGATAGAGTTCATAAAACATTTAAATGATTGTGAACATTTCGTAATACTTAGAATATACTCTCTAGAACAAGGGAGAGAGAGAGAGAGAGAGAGAGAGAGAGAGAGAGAGAGAGAGAGAGAGAGAGAGAGAGAGAGAGAGAGAGAGAGAGAGAGAGAGAGGTGGTGCCTGATAATATATATATTTGAAGTTCTGTTTGAGAGCCTAGTCCCAAATCTACATAATTTACTGGAGTGATAGATATGGGACGAAGGGTAAAATATGTAGAACCAGATACATGTGCAACCTCTGCGTATCTTTATTATAGACGTTTCGCCATCCAGTGCTTTTATCAATACAAACTCAAGGACATAATTGAAAGACAGAACTATATACAGAAGATGAAGTAATGAGTCCCTCAGTCTTGGAGGTGGCGAAGACTACCGTAGTCTTTAAGACTTGTCATCTTATCGGTATTATATACCGCACATGTACAAGTGTAGAATATACCAAGTGGAAAGTAGGGGCGGCATGTGCGGGCACACTTACATTACTGCGTCAACATCCTTGGTTCAGTTATCAAAAAGAAGCGCTAAACCCACTAGGAAATCCTTGGTTCAAGACTATTCAACCTGTTACCAGCAGTGTCAAATATTGCTGGAATTTAAGAGGAAACTGGATCACTACATCCGTCAAGTGCCAGATCAACTAGGCTTTGATGGTTATGTGGGTCAGCGGGCCGCTAGCAGCAATAGCCTGATTGACCAGGCACTCAATAGGAAAGCTTGACCAAAGGCCGAGTTCGTAGGGTAGAAAATCCTGTCATTATGAAGGCGCTCTGTGACCTCTATGTATTTAACGTTGAAATAAAGATACATGAGAGAGAGAGAGAGGGAGAGAGTGAGAGAGAGAGAGAGAGGGAGGGAGGCGTGTGAAGGAAGAGAGAGAGTTGAAAGAGGTTGATGTAAGGATTAAGGAGGGAAGGAGAAGTGTATAAAAGCAGAGTGAGAGGAAGAGTAAACTTGGCTAGGCTCCACCCGTGCTTGGCGGCCATCACTGCAAGCTGACTAGGCTCGTAGCCCCACAACTGCTGCTGCTGCTGACACACTTGCTGATGGTAGGCCTTGTTGTTTTACGGGGTCAACACCCTCGTGTTCCATTCCCAGACCAGTCCTCACAGTTGCTGGCCTCATCGACCAGGCTAAACATCAAAATGGTATACATAACCGACAGGTTGGTAGGTAAGACACGTAGGCAACAGTTAAGGCAACTTTATTCCGAAACGTTTCGCCTACACAGTAGGCTTCTTCAGTCGAATACAGAAAGTAGGCAGGAACAATAGAGATGTGAAGACGATGCAATCAGTCCATCACCCTTGAAGTCGTAGAATTTAAGGTTGTCAGTCCCTCAGCCTGGAGAAGTTCAGTTCCCTAGTTCCTGACTATGGAACTGAACTTCTCCAGGCTGAGGGACTGACAACCTCAAATTCTACGACTTCAAGGGTGATGGACTGATTACATCGTCTTCACATCTCTATTGTTCCTGCCTACTTTCTGTATTCGACTGAAGAAGCCTACTGTGTAGGCGAAACGTTTCGGAATAAAGTTGCCTAACTGTTGCCTATGTGTCTTACCTACCATCGACCAGACTGTTGGTGCCAGCCGCACGTATAAAACAAATTCCAACCACACAGTAGAACGAAGAACTAGTGTAAAAAAACTGGGAGTGATAATATCATAGGATCTCACCTTCAAAGACTACAACATTGTATCAATCGCATCTGCTAGAAAAATGACAGGATGGATAATGAGAACCTTCAAAACTAGGGAGGCCAAGCCCATGATGACACTCTTCAGGTCACTTGTTCTATCTAGGCTGGAATATTGCTGCACACTAACAGCACCTTTCAAGGCAGGTGAAATTGCTGACCTAGAAAATGTACAGAGAACCTTCACGGCGCGCATAACAGAGATAAAACACCTCAGTTACTGGGAACGCTTGAAATTTCTCACCCTATGTTCCCTAGAACGCAGGCGGGAGAAATACAGGATTATATACACTTGGAAAATCCTAGAGGGATTAGTACCAAACTTGCACACGAAAATCACTCCCTATGAAAGCAAAAGACTCGGCAGACGATGCAACATCCCCCCAATGAAAAGCAGGGGTGTCATTAACACGATAAGAAACAACACAATAAGTTTGAGGGGCCTAAGACTGTTCAACTGCCTCCCAGCATACATAAAGGGGATTACTAATAGACCCCTGGCTGTCTTCAAGAATGCCCTGGACAGGCACCTAAAGTCAGTAACTGACCAGCCGGGCTGTGGTTCGTACGTCGGGTAGCTTGCGGCCAACAGTGACAGCCTGCTTGATCAGGCTGTCACTGGTCACAGACCGGGCCGCGGGGGCGTTGACCCCCCAAAACCCACTCCAGGTATACTGACATCCAACCCACTTCCCGGCTGATCAGGGACTGACTTTAGAAACTCCCAAGTTTCCTCTTGAAGACAGCTAGACGTTTGTATAACCTGAACATTCAGAACAAAGGATATCAAGCCAGTGATGATACACTTCAAGTCAAGCCAGACTGCATAGCTGGAAAACACACCAAGTACTTTCACTCCCTGTGTGGAAATTTGCATTTATCTGAATGTAACTAATTATGTACATAACAGTAAATGATAAAGATAATTATTATTTATCAATGTTACATAGACAAGTAGGAATTTGGGACACCTAGGTCGCAAAAAATGTCCCCCTTCGATACCTACCACTGTCATAACCACAAGTTGCTCTGGACCTATTAATTAAATGAAATATACATACACCAGGAATACTGGTAAATATATAAATTTGTGGACTGTATATTAAAAATAATAAATGGTTATATATATACACAATTACATAACAGAAGGAAAATATATCTTAATATCACTCGCCAATTTGACTGAAGATTAATGTGTATCATACTTAGAAAACCTCACTCTAACTAAATCTATGAAAATAATGCTGGCCAGAATTACACACAAATCTAGAGAGCTTATCTGAGGTTCCTGGAGCTGTCTTGTCCAGTCGTCTGATATCTCAAGTTATGCAGGAATGCACATCCACCAATTTCGCCTCCTATTTGAGAGGTGTCAACACAATTTTAACCTCAAAACCAAGATGGCGAGTCTCGTCTGCGCAGACGCAGGCTTTCCGTTTTCTATGGCATAAATATTATTAAATACAGTATGGCCATCTATTTACATATAAATACTGAATTTCTGGAAAATATATACAGTATTTTCCACACCCTGTATAAATTCCATCAAACATCTGAACTACTGGGAACGATTGTCTCTCTGTACTCCATGGAACGTAGGCAAGAAAGATACATTATAATCTACACCTGGAAAATCCTGCAGGGACTGGTCCCAAATCTACACCAAAATCACTCGGTATGAAAGCAAGAAACTTGGCAGACGGTGCAGATTACCTCCAGGAAAAAAGCAGGAGCGCGACGAGTATATTAAGAGAGTTTTCAACCCCAAACTCCCTATCGTGTATATGAAAATTACTAACAAACCTCTGACTGTCTTCAGGAAGGTACTTGATAAGTTCCTGAAGTCACTTCCTGGTTAGTCAGGTATCACTGTATACATATGTTGGACTGCGGAAAGTGGCACCAAATAGCCTGGTTGATGTGTATAATAATAATAATAATAATAATAATAATATAATTATTGTAGATGAATGGTTCAAAGAACCGACACGTTGATAAATTAGACACATGTGCAACTCTTGGGAATCTTATTAAGGAAACGTTTCGCCACACAGTGGCTTCATCAGTCCATACACAGGAGAAGCTTGAAGAACAGGAGGAGAATGAGGTAATCAGTCCCTCAACCTTGAGTCGATGTGGTCAGTCCATCAATCTTGAATAGATTGAATAGTATTCTATTCAAGATTGATGGACTGACCTCAAGGTTGAGGGACTGATTACCTCATTCTCCTCCTGTTCTTCAAGCTTCTCCTGTGTATGGATTGATGAAGCCACTGTGTGGCGAAACGTTTCCTTAATAAGATTCCCAAGAGTTGCACATGTGTCTAATTTATCAATATAATTATTATTGATATATAATTATTATATATTATTATTGGTGTTGTATTATGTGGATGCTGTAAAGCCCTAAGGGGATATACAGTGCCTTGGGAATGGAAGTTAGGTGTGATTCCTGGAAGGGAAGTGTAGTTCCAATTGCATGGATGTAGAGCGCATTAGGTGCCCCTGGCGCAGGGGTGGTTGATCATAATGTGAGGTAGTGATGACCAGCCAGTTGCTCTCATTATACCTCTCACTGTAGTTATCTCTGCTTGATTCTCTGATAGTGAGTAGTGTGCTTGTTACTCTCTCCACACCTGTTTTATACTGCTCTCTGGTGAATAGTGTGTGTGTGTATGTGTGCGCTCAGCTATTTGTGGTTGCAGGGATCGAGCCATAGCTCCTGGCTCCGCCTCTTCGCTGGTCGCTACTAGATCCACACTCTCCTTTCATGAGCTTTATCGAACCTCTTAAAGCTATGTATGGATCTTGCCTCCACTGCATCACTGTGTGTGTGTGTATTTTGTTAGTGGTGCAGTGTGATTCATTGTACGTAGTTAATGGCTTTACCTGACGTATGTACGTGGCTCCGCGCATACAGACGTATATGTATGTGGTCCCATGTATAGCCTGACGTATTTATGCGTGATTACAAGCATTTTAAGATTTTTTTTTGTTTAATGGCGTGGCCTGATGCGTATATACGTGACAATAGCTCTATTGTGAAGAACGTGGATGCAAGAGTTGTCTGACGTATATATACACATGGATTGGAGGTGTAGTTTAATACGTACGTGGGTTGCAGGTGTACTCTGACGTCTATGTACGTGATTGCAGGCAGGGTGAGAGTGCTGGAGTGCCTGGCTCCCTGGCTGTGTATCAGCGCGGCACGGCCGGTGGGGTCCGTGGGGTCGGGTGCTGCACGTCACAACCAACAGGAGGGGGAACAGCAGCAACAGCAACAGCAGCAGCAGCAGCAGCAGCAGCAGCCAGGGGAACCTGGTGCAGGCTGGCTTAGAGACACCAGGACGACGCCCACGGACAGAACACGCCCACACTCGGCGCCCGTGCCCATCACCACCACAATGGTGAAGACCTTCCAGGTGAGACAGTATGGGCATGCTTGTCCCCTTTTATTGGTCAGAACTTACATCACCTGCTCCCATAGTGGGAGTTCACTCTGTTATGATAAATGGTTGTACTTTTAACTATCAGTTATTGAATGAATCATGTACAAGAGGATGACTTGTGTACGTACACTGATGTACATAACAATTTTGGTGACGTACATGTTGTACCCCCAGGCTTACCTGCCCTCGTGTCACCGTACCTATTCGTGCATCCACTGCCGTGCACACCTGGCCAACCACGACGAACTCATCTCCAAGGTTAGTGTTGACACCTGTCTCTTGTTACACACCTGTATCCATGCACCTGCTGTTAACTCTGCTGCTCCCACGCGTGATCTTGCTTCTTCACACCTGCCCAACACCATCCACACCTGCCCAACGCTCTCCATACCTGCCTAACACCATCCACACATGTCCAACACCATCCACACCTGCCCAACGCTCTCCATACCTGCCTAACACCATCCACACCTGTCCAACATCATCCACACCTGTTTAACACCCAGATGTTTCCTACATCTGTCTAACACCCTCCCCATACCTGCCTCCACACTACACACCAGTCATCAACTACAGTGCTGACATCCTTTAAGGGAAGTTCCTGGATGCCAGTGGATCGAACCTAACTGCCTCCCGTTCCCCAGGCACTGTGACACCCCCCGTACGGGTTTAGCGCAATATTAGTGATAACCATAACTTATGGTATTTAGATATTTTATGTGTATAATATTTAGGCAGTTTCGTTGCAAATATTAAGACATTTACTCGACAGTCTGCCCTAAATATTATATTTTAATTTTAATATTTATTAGTCATGGGACGACACTACTAACATTTTGACTGACACAGTACACATAATTGCGTTAATATCCAAGGTTAAAATTGCTCATAATTGAAGTTAAGGAGCACTTTGTGGAGCCCATCTGTTCCTCCAGTGTTGAACAATTTTTGTCTCGGATATTTACTGGCTAGGTTTGTCACTGGTGGACGTACCATGGCAATAGTAGTGGTATATTTACTGGCTAGGTTTGTCACTGGTGGACGTACCATGGCAATAGTAGTGGTATATTTACTGGCTAGGTTTGTCACTGGTGGACGTACCATGGCAATAGTAGTGGTATATTTACTGGCTAGGTTTGTCACTGGTGGACGTACCATGGCAATAGTAGTGGTATATTTACTGGCTAGGTTTGTCACTGATGGACGTACCATGGCAATAGTAGTGGTATATTTACTGGCTAGGTTTGTCACTGATGGACGTACCATGGCAATAGTAGTGGTATATTTACTGGCTAGGTTTGTCACTGATGGACGTACCATGGCAATAGTAGTGGTATATTTACTGGCTAGATTTGTCACTGATGGACGTACCATGGCAATAGTAGTGGTATATTTACTGGCTAGGTTTGTCACTGATGGACGTACCATGGCAATAGTAGTGGTATATTTACTGGCTAGGTTGTCACTGATGGACGTACCATGGCAATAGTAGTGGTATATTTACTGGCTAGGTTTGTCACTGATGGACGTACCATGGCAATAGTAGTGGTATACAGTGTCGACACAATTGTGTTGCACACCTGAACAACACAGTTGTCATCTAAGATTTGTTAGGTTATACCATGATAGGAGATCCTGACTTCACCTTACGAAACAGACAACGCAAATGCGATAGTAATTATGGACAAGGTAGATTATAGGGGAAAAATAATATATTATTAGAAGACAGGGGAACTGACGTGCTCCTTAATATTACAATATCATCGGCTGGTACCGGCAAGTTTTTCATCCCTGATACCAGTAGCACGAATAAGCCAATACTAAACGTGTTTCAGATAACTGGATCCAATTTCAAGCAGGATGTGAAATATCCATCATTTGAAACACCCTGCACTTGACACACTCCTATTTGGACTGCTACAGGTTTTTCATATATAATGAATAGTAGTGGCAATATACAGTGTTGTTATGCTGTGTTCTAGTAAGTTCATCACTGTTATCTCTTATCCAGCTTTGCCATCGTTACAGTATTTCAGTAGTTATCAGTGTTATTGTTTATCAGTTATAAGTGTAATCATTGGTTACATTATCGGGTTAAATAGTTACAATTATCAGTACATTAGATAGCAATTATCGGTAATTAGGTAACATTATCAGGTGTATATTAATATCAGGTGTTATTAATCAGTTACAGGTGTTATCATTATCAGTGTCTTAATAGTTACAGGGTTATCATAATTATTATCAGGTGTCATAAATTATCAGCACTTTCATTAGTCTCAGCTGCTTCCAACAGTAATATTAGCAGTGTATCATTATCAGGTGTTATCAGTTATCGGTGTTTATCAGCGTCAGGTGTTTAATTGTCCAGTGTTAAACATCGCATGTTATCATCGTCAGGTGTTATCAGTCGTCAGGTGTTATCAAGTATCAGTGATTATCAGTTATCAGGTGTTATCATTAATCAGTGTTTATCAGTCGTCCAGTGTTCAGTATCAGGTGTTACATTACAGGTGTTATCTCATCAGTGTTATCAGTTATCAGGTTATCGTTATCAGTGTTATCAGTCATCAGTGTATCATCATCAGGTGTTATCAGTTATCAGGTGTTATCATTATCAGTGTTATCAGTTATCAGGTGTTATCAGTTATCAGGTTTATCAGTATCAGGTGTTATCAATTCATCAGGTGTTATCAGTTATCAGTGTTATCAGTTCAGGTGTTTCAGGGTTATCAGGTGTTATCAGTTATCAGGTGTTATCAGTCATCAGGGTTATTATCATTCACAGGTGTTATCATCATCAGTGTTATCAGTCATCAGGTGTATCATTATCAGTGTTACAGTTATCATGTTATCAGTCATCAGTGTTATCCAGTTATCAGTGTATCAGTTATCAGGTGTTATCAGTTATCAGGTGTTATCAGTTCATCAGGTGTTATCAGTCATCAGGTGTTATCAGTCATCAGGTGTTATCAGTCATCAGTTTATCACGTTATCAGGTGTTATCAGTGTTTCAGTGTATCAGTTATCAGTTTCAGTCCAGGTGTTATCAGTTCATCAGGTGTTTATCAGTTCATCAGTGTTATCAGTCATCAGGTGTTATCAGTCATCAGGTGTTATCAGTTATCAGGTGTTATCAGTCTCAGTTTATCAGTCATCAGGTGTTATCTCATCATGTTATCAGTCATCAGGTGTTATCAGTTATCAGGTGTTATCAGTTATCAGGTGTTATCAGTCATCAGGTGTTATCAGTCATCAGGTGTTATCAGTTATCAGGTGTTATCAGTTATCAGGTGTTATCAGTCATCAGGTGTTATCAATCAGTTTATATTATCAGGTGTTATCAGTTATCAGGTGTTATCAGTTATCAGGTGTTATCAGTCATCAGGTGTTATCAGTTATCAGGTGTTATCAGTTATCAGTGTTATCAGTTATCAGGTGTTATCAGTTACATCAGTCATGTACTGTTATTAATGTCTCTGGCTATGTCAAACTAGGCTTGTTTGATGCATGAACAAGAACCTTCTTGCTCCCACAACGCCATCACTGCACGGATCGACCCTCCACGCTTTAACTGACCCACACGGTTTACTCTTATCCATGATAATAATATAAATATGACAAAAACAGGGAAAGAAGTGTTTAGTCAATTCATGTAAAATGTCCATAGTGTGATTATCCTGGGATGATCCAGGGTTGTATCCAGGGAGTATCCAGGGATGTATCCTGGATGTCATCCAGGGTTGTATCCAGGAATTATCCAGGGGATGTATCCTGGGATTATCCAGGTATTATCCTGGATGTTATCCAGGTATGTATCCATGGGATTATCCAGGTCATGTTATCCAGGGGATGTATCCAGGGTTATCCTGGGATGTTATCCAGGGATGTTATCTGGATGTATCCAGGGTATTATCCGGATGTATCCAGGTATGTTATCCACGGGATGTATCCGGAGTATCAGGGTATGTATCCTGGATGTATCAGGGTATATCACTGGGGATCATCCAGGTGATGTATCTGGATGTATCCAGGGTGTATCGGGGTGTATCCAGGTAGTATCCAGGGATGTATCAGGGTATGTATCCAGGGGATGTATCCAGGTAATGTATCCGGGGAGTATCAGGGTGTATCCTGGGGATTATCCAGGTATGTATCAGGGTGTATCAGGTTGTATCCGGATGTCATCCAGGGTATATCGGGATGTATCCAGGGTGTATCCAGGTATGTATCCTGGGGATGTATCAGTTATCAGGTGTTATCAGTTATCAGGTGTTATCAGTCATCAGGTGTTATCAGTTATCAGGTGTTATCAGTTATCAGGTGTTATCAGTTATCAGGTGTTATCAGTTATCATCAGTCATGTAACCTGTTATTAATGTCTCTGGCTATGTCAAACTAGGCTTGTTTGATGACCATGAAACAAGAACCTTCTTGCTCCCACAACACGCCATCACTGCACGGAGGATCGAACCCTCCAGCGCTTGAACTGACCCACACGGGTTTAGCTCTTATCCATGAATAATAATAATAAATATGACAAAAACAAGGGAAGAGAAATTTTTGCAATTCATGGTAAAAATGGTGCCTTGTGTGATGTATCCTGGGGATGTATCCAGGGTATGTATCCAGGGGATGTATCCAGGGGATGTATCCTGGGGATGTATCCAGGGTATGTATCCAGGGAATGTATCCAGGGGATGTATCCTGGGGATGTATCCAGGGTATGTATCCTGGGGATGTATCCAGGGTATGTATCCTGGGGATGTATCCAGGGTATGTATCCTGGGGATGTATCCAGGGGATGTATCCTGGGGATGTATCCAGGGGATGTATCCTGGGGATGTATCCAGGGTATGTATCCTGGGGATGTATCCAGGGTATGTATCCAGGGGATGTATCCTGGGGATGTATCCAGGGTATGTATCCTGGGGATGTATCCAGGGTATGTATCCTGGGGATGTATCCAGGGTATGTATCCTGGGGATGTATCCAGGGGATGTATCCTGGGGATGTATCCAGGGTATGTATCCAGGGGATGTATCCAGGGGATGTATCCAGGGTATGTATCCTGGGGATGTATCCAGGGTATGTATCCTGGGGATGTATCCAGGGGATGTATCCAGGGTATGTATCCTGGGGATGTATCCAGGGTATGTATCCTGGGGATGTATCCAGGGTATGTATCCTGGGGATGTATCCAGGGGATGTATCCAGGGGATGTATCCAGGGGATGTATCCTGGGGATGTATCCAGGG